ATCACCAGCCCTTTTTATTGAGGACAAAAGATAATTGCACATCACGTCACGCAGCGCAGCTCTGCTCTTTGAATCCATTCTGAAATACCCAAATGTTAATTTTGGAATATTTTCTGCTTTTCTTCAGTTGTGAATCTGTCCCAGCAGATGTGTGTGACCTGAGTGTATAATTAGAATGAGAAAAGCTACCATTTTTATTTGTGACTCATAGGCTTTGTCAGCTTTAAGAGCTTCTTTCCCAGTAGATAAAATAGCTTACTAGCCCAGAAAATATTCAAAGCAGCAAGCAGGAGTGTGTAATCTCTTCACTGCTCCTAAAATGAGAATACAGTGAGAAGGCTGTGGCTTCAGTGCCATGAAGACACTGATTTTCAGTTGTGTTACTTTCTTCATGAGTAGAAACGTTTCAAAGTAAAGGGCTAAGCCAAAGAAAGCCCAGTGTCATCGGTGCACCTTGAGATGCTCTTTGTCTGTGCGCTCTGACATAACTCCTGCCTGCTAAATTCTGCTTTGTCACATTCCTGAAGACTTTTGCAGTTCATTTCGGGGTTTTGGGGGGTTGTGTGTGTGTGCTGCAGGCCCAAGTGGTGATGTCTTTAAAATGGAAATCAATTGTATGTTGGAGTTTTTAAAGGGCATGGAAACGTGCTCAGAGAACGAATGCATCTTTAGTGTAACCACTAGTCTGTGCTGTAGCACACTGCAGTGTTGGAGCTCTGTTGGATGTAGTATCTCTGAATACTGAATCATTTTTCAAAAGACTTCTCTTTCTCTTGGTCGCTGCTCGTATTGTTTCCATGGTTTTAGTCTCTTAATTTACTGTAATCAGTATGTGTGTTACCAGGAAGGTGTCAGCTTTTGTGTTCGTAGGCTTATATGCTGTCTACACTGAAATCACATGGCGTAGCTGTTGTAGATCTGTAGTATGCCAGCCTTACCTGTTTGATTGTGAAGATGATAGAATGGGTTTCATTCATTCATGTATTGTAGAACAAGTAACCCAGTATCATGCGAGGTTTACACGGTACACGGTTGCTCTTAGTGCCTGAGCTGGCTATGTGAAAGTGATTTTGGCTGGGTGTCTTTGTGTACTTCACTCAGCTGCTGCTGATGTAGAAATAGCCACAGTAGTCAAAGACTTGGCTGTTGTTTAGAACAGCCTTCTTCCAGAAAGATGCCTCTTCCTGTATAACAGGAAAGAATCTATACAAAGGAACATGCTAATAATAAGTTAGTGGAATGAAGAGATGTAAGATAGTAAGACATTAAGATTCACACTGAAGACAAGGAGGGAATAACTTGATTTTTATAATAAAAAACTATGCCACCTTTTTTTTAATTCTTGTTAAGATGTTTATTTGACAGTTTAAGAAATACCAAAGGAGAAATCTGCACTATTTATTCCTCACTTTGCATATGGAACTCCCCCAAATGTTACTATTTCATGTATCAGTGTTCAGTTAGGTAACAGTCCTCCCCCTCCTTAAAGTACGTACTATGGGATCACTGTCATATGTATTTATTATCCAGGTGAGAGACATTTGAGAAAATAGTTGTGGTTTGGTTGATGTTTTCCCTTTTTAGTTTTGTGGTTTAGCATCTGCAATGAATGGCAGAACACAAATAAAGCTGCTTGACAGTTGGTGAAAAGTTGATTAAAAGAGTTAGTTAATGAAATATTTTTAATGTAAAAGCTGTTCCTCGTAACAGACGGGTGCACTGTAGAATTGCCCCTTTGAAGGGTATGGCTCAGAGCACACTGAGGTGGTGGAAGGGGAGTGTCATAAGGGACCAAAACAAGTTCTTCAGTCTGTTCTCTCACCCTGTCTTCTCTGACTGTGTTGGGCCATCTGGAAGGAACTGCCTTTGAATAGAGTATTTCTAGCACCAGCTCTTTCATAGTCATTATCATTTGAATAGTAATTGTTAAGTAATTCCCAAATATTTTTCATTGCCATTAAAGCATTTTTTCATTGAGCAGACATTTTCCTTCAGTTTTAATACCAGCAAAATTAAATAGATGCTTTCAGTTTGGTCCTTTATGAACAAAATACAGCTGATTTTGCCTCACACATTTCTCTGAATCACATTATCAATTCTACTAGTCAGTCGTGACTGTGCCGAAAGAGGTGTTCAGTAAGAAAACTTGGTTGCTTAGCAATGAACATCGTGAGAATTAAAATTTAAAGCCCCGGTATGTGTATTTCTGAGTTATAAGATCTTCACATCAGAAATTGGTAGTGGTTTTCTTTTCTCTCCGTATGTGTGTGTTCATATTCGTGTGTCTTTGGAGAGAATGTAACTCATACTAAACAAACTGCAGTTTGAGCCCCACGGTGTTATTGTTTCTGATCTGTGAGATGAGCTTTTATTCCAGCTTTGAGAAGATTTTGAGGCACACTCACTTCTCATTTCACAATTATCAGTAAAATCGATTGTTACTAAAATGATTTATGTTTTTAATGGTCTGGTTTTGCTTGTAAGTGGATTTCTTTGTTCCTTCCCTCCTGTGATAACTCCTTAACTCATCTGTACCAACCAAAGAAGTGGAATAACAAGACAAAGCAGTTGAAAATGATCCACAAGGATAGGTTTGTAAACTGATTGTTAGTGCTCTTTTCCAGTTACTTTTTTTTTCTGTGCACATAAGAGCAAAGTGAGCATAAAGGCAATGAGATAATAGTGAATTCTCAATGAATCACCTATTGTTTCCAGAAATAGAGCTCAAGATATCATTATCCTAAGACTGCCTGAAAGCTGTCAATTTATTCTACATGATGCATGAATTGCTTGCACTAGATTAAATGTAGTCCATAGCTCGCTCCTGTACTATTCAGTCTGATACTGCCCTGATAAAGGTATACTGTGTTTGCAGGCTAACTTCATATGCAGAGGTGAGATTGTCACTTTGTCTCTTCACTTTATTCTCCTCCTCATCCTTCTGTAAAGGGTGCCAGAGTCTCATCAGGTTTTTTTCAGGCTTTATTCTATACCATGTGACTGTGGAGTTAATTCAAATGGCTTGATCTGTTTGCTTGCTTCACAGATTTCTCATCTACAGATCTTATCTCCTTTTGCTTGAACTTCTGGCTAACTAAGAATTTTAGTTCACCCTGAATATTCAGCTTTTAATTCCAGAAGGATGCCTCTTCCTGTCTTACAGGGAAGGATCTATACAGAGGAGCATGCTGATGATTGATAAGTTAGTGAAATGAAGAGACATAAGATACTAAGGCATTAAAATGCACGCTGAAGCCATGAAAACTGCTGAAATGCTGCTTTCATTTCTCCTGGATATGTGGGTCCAAAATCTGGGAATCATCCCAGACTTGGCTTCTTCTTAGCCTTACGCAGTCAGACTCTCTGAGGTTTCTCAATGTTATGGCCTGGGAAATGGCTGAGATTGAGTCTTCTGTTTCTATTAATCCACCAAAGCATTTATCCAGTCTTTCACTTCATACTGAGATCCTTTCCTAACAGGTTATTTTGATGTGTGTGTTTCCACACATGCATATTAAACACAATTTCTTTTCACTTGTCCCTTTAAGATCTCTCAATAAAACCCTTCAGTGTGCTTAGAAGACTTCTAAAAGGTGTTTCAGTGGACTGAAACAATACAGAAATGTTTTGTCTGGTCTTGTTGATATTCCAGTTATCACTTGTTTAATTCCGATGTCATCATCTAAGTATTGTATTTGCTCCTGGGCAGGGACTGTATAGTTAGAATAGAATAGGAACCGATTGAGGTGTTTAGGTACAGTTGTACTAGCACTGCTTGATAACGTAAATCAGAAATTCTTCATTATTGTCAGTATTCTGCAAGATGATGTGATTGAACTTCTGAGAAGTGGAAAAACAAACTCTGCCATTGCAGATTTGAAGTTTTTTAGACTGAATGCCAGCGAGTTGAGTGCACCCATATATTGCTGCAGAGGGGAAGTTTTCTCAGGGATGTGATACCAGTTGTGACTGTTTTTACATGAATCAAAGAATCACGAGCTTTGTCACCTAAAGGGGGAAGGAGGAAGATTCATAGCCAGTTGTTTTCATATGGATATGGAACATGTGAACTGTGAAGTTCTTTTCTTTAAAAATGATGGTTTTGCATATACTTTCGTTTACACTGTGTGTATGCAGATGATGCATATTGCACACAAGGTATCACTCTAAAGTTCTGTTATCTTTACTCCATCTTATTGTAGAAAAATTCAGTGGTGACTTGTCTGATTAAAAAAATCGTGTGGGACCTGATGGTGGTGTTAGAAAAGAAGTTGAATATTTCTGCCTTTAGCTATTTCCTTTACAAAACATGAAAGTTTGCAGGTTTAAGTGCACCACATGTGTGCTTTGTACAGTTACTAGTAACAAAGATAGGCTTGAAACCCAGCAACAAAGGTACATTAATGCAGATTTTAAGTTCTTACATTGTATTTTTCACTTTGTACTTTATTAAATCCTTTTTAAAAAGAATTTCAAGTCAAAATTATAATATGTGGACAAAACATTTAAGTTGAGAGCAAGCAGGGGATATACATGTTGGCATGATTGCTAGCAAATACCAAGCTGAACTAGCCGGCAAGCTGTTTCAGTGGCTGGGAAGCCATGTGTGTTTATCTCTGGAGTGAGGCAACTGAGGAGTTGGCTATCAAAGGCACAGCATGTCCAGGCCAACAGCAGAGAGCAGGGCTGATGGGCACAGCTTTGTCCAGCAGTGAGTCCATCTTGGAGCCTGCTGAGTTGGCTTTATTCAACATGGGCGCAATTCCTGGTCTCTTCTCACAGAAGCCACCCCTGCAGTCCCCCTGGTACCAAACTCTTGCCACATAACCCCAATATGTATGTATGTATCTATATATGCATATATTTCCCACTAACAGACCTTCATCTTCACCAGCCAGAGGGGGGAGCAAGATGAGGCCATTGGTACTGCTTGTGTTTGTGTGGGTGCTGATTGCTGCTATCTGTGTGGCTGGCCGTGTGTGTGTTGGATACGTGTGTGTAACCTGGGATTACTTGCTCACCTTGCTAATGGCTGGAACTGGGGGATGCAGCTGCTTGGGGTTTCCTGAACAGAAACCATAGCTATTTGTTACAGCATATGGCATGTATTTGACAAGGGATATTTATGACTCTATGAGCAGCATGGAAAGCAGGAAACAGTATATATAGACTGAACTGTTCAGGGCTGCGAAGAAAGGAGGGAGATACCACAGTGCTGGTTTTGTAGCTGAAGGCAGTGTCACAGGTCTGATTTCCAATCTGGAGGGTGTGAGGAAGGGTTGTTGTTATTTCTTGCTGTTAGATATTTTGTTTTGGTGCTCCTGACCCAGGAACGGGGAGAAATCCTACAATATCCCAAGGCGGTGAATGCAGTGGCACAGTTAAGCTGCACAGATGGAGTGACTGGCTGAGGGTGAAGAGGCTTTGGTGAAGCTGACTTGATTCCTTGGAGCTCTCTGGACAGAAGCGTGAGGGGCTGTAGAGATGGGCTCTGAACACTGCTTGTGCCTCATTTTCTGTCAACACAGCAGTTGATTCTAAAACAGGTTATCGAACTATTGACAAAACCTCTTTGGCTTTGTGTGCTGCTGGGTGTTTAAAGAAATGGGGAAAAACTACTTACTTTCCCATGAGTTCCAGTGTTAGGTACAGACAGGACCTTTTGGTTTTTAGCACTTCCCTCACAAGCTCACAGATGGATCTGAAGAGGAACTTCTTACAAACCACTGTGTTTTGGTTTGTAACTAACTTGAAGATAACTAGAGATTTATTTCTTTTTTAGCAGATTTTTAATTCCCATCTCATGTATTTGAGAGCTAATGGTGATCACGACGTCACAGACCAAATATTTTCCACTGCTAAGCAAGAGAGGGATGAGACAGCTAAAATTTCCCGCTTAGTGGCTTTCAACCAAAGCCTGACATGAACGAAGGAAAAGGCAAGAAACTCCCAAGATGAGTCACAGAAGTGGGTGTTTCCACAGAATGAGATTTCAGGACAGAGCCACCGATCTAGCACTAGTGAACAAAGAATAGTAAACCCAGCTCAGGACTGGCAGAGAGGAGTCCTACATACACAGCACTGCTTCCTACCATGGATTGTAGCTGAGCTGCTTTCTTCCTGTGACAGACGTGAGTATGCAGTGGCAGTGAAAGAAATTGTTCCTAGAATTATACTTTGTTTATATTTAAATTGGTTTTTGAATTCAGGATTATTGCGATGTGACTCTGATCTTTAACTGCCTGCTTAAAATAAGATCTTACTTTCAGGGAAGGGTAGATGAAGTTTAGGATGAATTGCTTGTATGATGTTAAATAGCAGAAGACTAGAGCTGTGTATGTGGAATTGCGACAATGCAACAGAACGGTGAAATCAGTTTATATGCAGATAAAATACATTATTATGGAGCTAAGAAAGAGGGGTGAAATGATGAGCAAAACATGTATAGTTGTCATTAACAACAACAAGAGGTTGAAAAATCTAAATGTGGGAGTGATAGTGACAGTTTTACCCAGATTATTACTGTAAAAATAATCATAGTCTCTCTGAGTGAGAACAGTTGATTTAATTTCCAGTTGGGAAGGAACATATTTTGCTTGTAGTTTAAATTAACAATGAAGTGTTTATAAGAGAACATAAACCTGGTAAAAGTGAGTCTTATTGCAGGTATTGTAAAGTGTTCCTTAGTTGCAGTGTTTTGTAAGCTGGGGTGCACTGTGCTGATAACCTGCATTTTTAATCTTCTTTTAGAATAATTCTTTATATCCTTTGTTTTAGTTTTGGCAATACAGGGTTATATGTGAGACTGAATTAAAACCCAGTCCAGATTAAGCCAATTGATAAATACACCTATTTTGGCAAGTACTTGGGTTGTAAATATACTGCTTTTACTACTATGTGAGAGAAAATCACCTGAAATGAAAACAGAGTACTGCAACAATAATGGTATCTTAAGTATTTAGAGGGATACTCTTTGAATGCTTAATACTAAAGAACAGGAAATATCCAGCTGAAACCTAATTGATCAACATTGGAATTTCCGTTCAAGTGCAAGGAAACTGTGGGTTTATTCCATATTGCACAAAGGACTTAGAATATGGTTCTTCATTAAAAAAAAAGTGTTGGTTGACTCAAAACTTGCCCTTTTAGAGTTTTTTTAATATATGTGCTTAGCGTTTTCTTTAATGAGCTTGATTTCCTAAGGACACCAGCAGCCCTCTCTGCATGTGTGTGCGTGTCTGCATGTATGTGCATCACAAAAAGAGCATGGACCAGTGAGAGTCACTGCATTTGGGATTGCTTGGAGTGATTTTGAGACCATTAATAGTTACTGGTCAAGCTGGCCACCTTTGCTATGTGCTTCTTGTTTCCTTAAGAACCACCCAGTTGTAGCTGGAAATCCTGCTGCTCATCAGGAGTAATTTTCACTCACACTGTGCTTCACATGACATGAGAACTAGGACTAGATTTTAGAATATTCTGGGTTTTTTTTTGTTCTAAACCTTTTTTTTTTCCCCACTGTACAGTTACGGATGGGAGTAATTCACTCTCGGCCACTCTTAAGGAGTCACAAAGTAAATCAATCAGAATATGGAAGATCTTTATCCCCAAAGCAAACAAAGCACACAAATAAACCAGAATGAAATCTAAGGTATTTACCTAAAATTGCTCATCTGTAAACATACATATTCTTAAAATACCTACCTTTAATTGGTAGGTACTTTCCAGTGTCACTGGAAACACTGTGTTGAAGTTCATTGTATTCTGGATGTATATCTACCATCTCCACCAGTGTGTACATTCATAACAGCCAGATGAGATGTGTACCTAAAGAATATAAATTAGAGTGCAGTCTTACAGAATGTTACCATTTGGCCTGTTTCAGGTCATTATAGATTTCCTTACATTTATGTATTACTGTGTAAATGTTGCACAGATTAATAATCTTTGCTTCACTTTGGGACAGTTTTGGGTTTAGTTGGTTGGTTGGTGGATTTTTTGGAGGGGTGTTTATACTCTTATGAATCCCTCATAGGCAACAGAAAACCACCATTTAATGCAGGGAAATGGTCAAGGAAGAAGACTCTCAGAGATGAGTGGTATATTAAGGGCTGTGGTTTTCAGCATCTTATTGTCTGAAAACTAAAGGATGGGAAACCTCAGAATGAATAATCTTTGACTTATAAACACACTGGTGGTTTGTTCAGTTTTCTTTTGTGGCTTATAATGCTTTGGAAAATCTCTTAACTGTTTGTTCAGAAGAAAAAAAAAAATCAGTTTTTCATTTTGAAGATACTTTGAATATTTGAGATTTTGGGTTTATGTTTATTATATTTATTTTACATCACTAATATTCATTAATATATGGATGCATTTCAGCATTTCCATTATTATTTGCTTAATTTCAGTATCTGTTTAGCTTTGTTCTGTGGAAAAAAAAATTAAAGTTGTATTTAAGGAAAAAGCCAGTAAATGATAAGATTGCCAATGTCAGAGATGCTTTTCCTCCCCCTACACTAGACACAACTTTCCCCTCCGGACAGATTCTGATACTTGTTTCTAGTCCCTGGCTTGGTATTTGCTGTACATCAAGGGAGTTGCACTGCTGTACATTAAGGGAATAGGTCTCTTATTTGCTGTTTTGGTAGGTCACAGTAATTAGATAAGAGCCATTGTGGTCTGCTGGGGAGACAGGAGTCAGGCTTTTAAAAAGCTTTTGAATACAGTGTACTTGATAATGTTCTGTGTATAAATAATTCATGTACTTGCTTGAGTGCTTGTGCTCTTGAGGAAAATTTTGTCTTCTTTTAATGCTTGCTTATAGCCTGAAGGAGTGGAAGACGTGAGAAGAGAGTCAAAAGGCACATGGAAGAGATACAGATTTATTCTTAGTTACACGAGTGACCAGTAACCCCAAACAATGTATTATACTTTCAGTTCTTTTGACTTCTTTTTGTGTGCATGAGGAGCTTATTAGGAAAGGACATCTTCACTCAATCTCTGTTCCAGTGCCAAAGTTGTGCCTGGTTTGTGTCACAAAAATTCTCATAGGAATCCTGGGAAAGAGCTTTTCATGCATCCACAGCTCACATCTCCAGCTGTTGTCAGACCACAAAGTCACTGGCTATACTGTTAAAAGCAAAGGTATATTGGAAAACTGGTGTCAATACCAGGTCTTTCTTCTGTGGTTACTATTTAAATCCAGTATCATGCTTGCCATGCCTCTTTGGAAGACATCTTTGCTGACAGGAGCCTCTGCAGTAAGTGTAGCTTTACAACTGAGCTCTTTCAGAAGTTTGGTACCTTTTCATTTTTCTGCCTTTCAGTCTTTCTTCTCTGTGCCTGTTGTTACATCTAAAAGAGCTGACTTGAACAGAAACAAGTTTTATCAAAATGAGACAGTGCATTCAAAGGGATGGTTTCTGCAAGACTATTCCATCATTCTCTTTTGTTACTCACAAGTGGGACTTGCAGCTTTCTCAAAGTAGACCTCTAGCTGATTGCTTCAGTAATCAAGGTTCTCCACTTACATGCAGTTATATCTAGTCTTACTTTACCATTTCCTCTAAAACTGCTGTGGGTGCAATTCCTCTTAAAAACTGTTTTTCCAGGGCTCCATGACATCAGTTCAGCCCTTCCCAGGTCACTTGAATCTTCTCGTTTGTCAAACCTCTTGCTAGAATTCCCTGAACAATATTTCTTCTGGTATAACACAAAAATAATGAGTGTCTGTCCTGACTTTCTGACAGAATGCAGAAATATCCATCCATGATTTTGGAATTTTCAGTGAGTAGGTACAATAAACAGCACATGGTGATTGACATGTAGGACCTTTGTGCATCTCTTCAGTGACCTGGACAGTCTAGCAGCCAGCTTGTAATAAACTGAAGTTGGTTCTGACAGTAACCCTGTCCTGAAAGAGGCTGAAATGGCTTGTGTTGTATCTTACGCACCCTGGAACTTCACACAGTTGTTCCTCTAGTAGACAGGCTGTTATGCAGTACAAGGCTGGAAAGAGGTTTCTGCTGAAAGTAGTGGGTCACTCTTTTCTGCTTTATTACCTTTAAATATTACTGAGTTACTCCAGTAATTCCAGATGTAGTGTGTGGGAAGTGTCATTTTTGTACATAGAGTAACAAGGGGAAGAAAAGAGTTTAATTTGTGATTAAAGAGACAACATAATTATATGCTTTATTCTGATCAGTGTGTTACCCAGTAATGTGAATGACTGGGGGCCTCTGCTGCCTTGTAATCCAGGTCATTGTAGTTGAGGATTTCCCAGAATCCTCAGAATTAGGCAGAAGCTAATATTTTTGTTCTTTTCTTTTTTTAAGGACCTTCATGTTGGTGTTGTTTATGCCAGAACACAGTAAGCAAGGCACATTAACTCCAGCCTCGTGTCCACCTTTAATTGGCCAACACAATGCAATTGAATATAAATTCCAGGTGGCTTTGGAAATGAAAGAGAACTGAGCTCTGGCTGGAAGCTGAACGTGATGACGGCCTGGTCTATGGTGGGGAAGCTGAAAATGGAGAAGAGGCACTCCAGAGGAGACAGAAATGTGGAACAAGATGCTGGGGAATGCAGTGCTGAATCTGAGGAATGGACGAGCTCAGAAAGTGAACCTGAGCAACCGTACTTCAGAAGCAGCTGTAGCAATACTCAGTGGAGAGAAAAGGAGGTTTCCACTAAACCACATCGGCCACTCTGTCGCTCCCCTTGCTTGGATCGCCCAAGTTTTTCACAGAGCAGTATCACACAAGACTTGAAGCTAGATGAATGCAAAACAAATTTGGACAAGGAATACCAAGCTAAAATGGATTTTGCTTTAAAGCTTGGGTACGCAGGAGATCAGATCCAGGCTGTACTGAATAAACTGGGAGCAGATGCGCTCATCAATGATGTTCTGGCAGAGCTTGTGAGACTTGGCAACAAAAGTGAATCAGAGGGACAAAGCAGTGCCAGCAGTACCGCCAGTACTCTGGTGCCAAGAGGCCCTTGCCCAAAGGAAATAGCAAGCCCTGAACTATCACTTGAAGATGAAGTTGTGGATAACAGCGATAACTTGAGGCCAATTGTCATTGATGGAAGCAATGTGGCTATGAGGTAGGTCTCCCTGTCACAACATTTGAGAAGAATAAATCACTAAAATATGTATGAGAAAAATCAGTATTGATGGCAAAGTCATTTTAAGTCATGTAGTATATTTACACTGATAATCCATCCTTTTTATCAACTCTTTAGTCCAGGGTTTTAATTACGTTGTTACACCTTTATGTGCACCTTTATTCCAATTCCCTTCACCCCCTTTTCGGACCAAGTTCTCCTCTCAAACCTTTTTGTTCTACCAATCCAGCTGTAGTGTGCTTCGGTGTGCATGGGTTTAATCTTTTTGAAGTCCTTGAGTATTTATTTAATGTCCAAAAGCAACCTATTAGGGGAGGAAAACTTGGTTCTTTGTAAAATGCCATGCCATGTATGCTGATGATACGCAGTTGACTTCAGGGTATTTTTGCTCCTGCTGATTAAGCCTGCTCAGAATGCAAAGCAGTTCAGCTGTGTCAGTACAGGGATATGCATGATCTAATTGTGCTGACTCACACAGCTGTGGCACTTGTAATTTCAGACTTGTGCACATGTGCATTTTGGTCAACCCTTAATTCAAGAGGTATTTGTCCCATGCCGCTTCCAAGCATGTCTGTAGAGTTCAGCCATTTGTTTATCACTGAGAAAGGATGATTTTCTATGAGAGAGTTCTTTAAACACTCTCTTTGGTGATCAGCGATACCAAGATTTCTTGCAGTAGTGTTTGCACACGAGATTTCCTTTAGTATCAGCTTTCTGCTCTGAATTTGTCATCTGAATTATCTTCTATTATCTTTTTTTTTAAGGTATTAAGAAAGTTCAGATTTAATACATTTCTTAATACTTTGAGTGAATTAAGTACTCTCAAATTTGAAATATATTAACCCCCCCCCCCAAAATCCTATAAGAATATTTTATATACAGGATTTTTCAGTGCCAAGTTGTGCTACATTTATCCAGAAGATGTTTCTGTAAGGCAGCATCACCAATACTGCACTTAACATTTTCTCTGGGCCTGTTGACTTTGCAATCTCTGCAGTGCTTGAGCTCCTCCTGAGCCTAATGTGGCAGGAGCTGGAGAGAAGTGTTTGTACCCTTACTATTGCAGAGCTTCAGTCTGATGCCTGATTTATGGAATCATAGAATATCTCAAGTTGGAAGGAAGCCATAGGGTTATCGAGCCCAACTCAAGATGCAGAAGCATTTGAAAATCAAAAAAGATACTAAATTCTGCAAGGTCTGAAATGTACAAAAATCTGAAGAAAAATGCTTTAGAAACACTGTGGCTTCTGTATTCATTATTTACATTGCAAGAATCTGGACTAGGCTGGTGACCCATAGTGATGCAGATAGTATTACATCTGTCTGCCTTTGGTCTGTTTCAGCGTTACTTTATGTAACACTGAGGCCAGAAGAGCACACATCTTGCTATGGGGTAGTCATCTGTGATGTTGCTCTATAGTAATAATGCAATTAAAATTCTGAAAGATAATCCATAGGATAATGATAAAAATACAGATTTCTTAACAATGAAGCATCTGCTCTACAGAGTGAGAACTGCAAAAGTTACACACTTCTCATGCTTAAAAATACTGCAGTTACTGATGATGCAAATGGAGACTGAATATGATTCATAGATAATACTGTCCTTAGTTCCTATCAAAACTCTAATACTTGTTATTTCATTTGCAGAAACTTCTTAGGCCATTTACAAAATTCAAGCCCTGTGTTTGAATTGTGCTCTGTGTTTCAGAAAACAGATTTTTGATGGGCTCAAACAACTTTTGAGTTCTTTCTTTCCCTTAAAAAATCCTAACAAAAAATACAGAGCCTTTACTATCAAGGAAACATCTTATTTTGATCTGGATGTTTAAAAGCACCTGTGACCCATGGTAGCCAGCTTTGTCAGTTCATTCCTTTTTTGTTACTGATAACTTTCTATGGTAGTATTTAAGGCAAGCTCAGTTTGTTGGGGAAAGTGATATTTTTCATTGAATAAGTGAAAATTCTTCAAGTTTGGTTTGGTTTTGCTTTTGAGATAGTGAAATTATCCATTTCTAGAGTTTAAAGTAGCAGGGCTGCTGTAATTTGATGGCTGAGTATCTCTGGGCAGTTCTTTTTCCAGTTCTTTAAGCTGGTTGAATACAAAGGTTTAGCTCTCTTTACAGTCTTCATTTCCCGTATACCCTTGTATCTCAGGTAACAGCAAACCCCCAAACCAAATCTACCTTTTGTCCTTACTATTTCTAAAACTTTTGCATGCTCTTCAGCCATGGGAATAAAGAAGGCTTTTCCTGTCGGGGGATTCAACTAGCTGTGGATTGGTTTCTGGAGAAAGGGCATAAAGATATCACTGTGTTTGTACCTGCATGGAGGAAAGAACAGTCTCGACCTGATGCACCAATTACAGGTAATAGATCAAGGTTTTCTTTGACCCCTTGGTTAAGAAAAAAAAAGTATTGCATTAAGACATAACCATGTTCTGTTTGTGATGGGTACTGGGCCAATGGGTACCGGTGATGGGGATACACACCGAGCTGTGGATGTGATGTTGCACTCAACTATTCATTTGAAAACACAACAGTTTCACTGGTGAGGAAACAGGCATTTAAGTATCTGCATTTGTAACCAGTGCTGTTTTTTTTGTAGCATTACTGGATCATTTCAACACTTTTGAGAAGTAGTCAGAATTTTCCCATTAGCAAAACCATTGTTAAACATATAGGAACAGATTCTTAGTTGCTGGGTGAGTATATAAGTAGTATCAGGCCATTCTTGAACACTGAAAAGGCAGCATGTGTTTTGACCCATAGAAAGTACTTAAAATGTACTTTAGGCTAACAAGATGGCTACTATCATACAGTAATAACCGAGTTCTTGACGTGTTCAGGAAGACTGAGTAAAGGCTGTTTACAGAGGAGTAGCATGGTTCTGAAGCTTAAATATTGAATATTTAGCCAGTGCTTTCAAATATAACTTCACACCTAGGTATTTCTTAATGACAGTGGGGGCTGGGTATGAACATAATAACAAAATACATTGTGAGAAAAGAGGGAGGAAGTTTCACATTTCAGAGGCTGCATTTCTTGAAAACATTTTTGAAGTTGCTCAACTTGAATTATGTTACAGAGCAAGAAATCCTACGTAAATTGGAGAAAGAGAAAATTCTTGTTTTCACCCCATCTCGAAGAGTTCAGGGAAGAAGAGTGGTTTGCTATGATGACCGATTCATAGTGAAGCTTGCTTTCGACTCGGATGGTATCATCGTATCCAATGACAACTATCGGGATCTTCAGAATGAAAAACCAGAATGGAAGAAGTTCATAGAGGAGCGGCTGCTGATGTATTCTTTTGTGAATGACAAGTAAGGGGTTTTTCTACAGAAGTAAGGGAATTTGCGAGTTCAGAATCCTCAGTAGAAACTGAAATTCACATTTCATTTCTTTCCCCTTAGGTTTATGCCTCCTGATGATCCTTTAGGACGCCATGGTCCAAGCCTTGAAAATTTCTTAAGGAAAAGGCCAGTTATTCCTGAGCATAAGAAACAACCGTGTCCTTATGGTAAGTGCCCAAGTCAGGTTGATTTGTTGTATTCAAAGGTAGGTGAAGCAAGCAATTAATTAGCATCTTGTCATACTGGAACAATAAAAAAAGTGCCATTTTTAATGTTGCCATCCAAGTACTATATCCATTTTTACACCCTTCATACACATATGAGTAAAACCAGTGTAGCAGAAAATGAAGGATTACCAGATATGCCTTGTGGATAATGCAGCTTTTTGCCATTTTCTTCTGGTTTATATGGAAGAAAGAGATTCAGAACTGTACAAATTGTGTTAGAGCTGGTTTGTTTTATATAGCATGGAGTATTGATGTCAGTATTGAAATCGTGAGCCGGGAGGAAGGAAAAGCAATGTGTCTTTCCCTTGATGCAGTGATATACATGGATACGGGCAGCAGAACCTGTGACTGCCTGGATATATTATATATATATATATATAATTATTCCTTAGGGGGTTAATGTAGAAATATTAGTACTGAGAAGTGGTGAAAGATACAAAGAAAAAAGACAGCAGCTGGTGATACTGATTGGGTTTTGGTTTATTTAACTTGAACCCACTTTTCTTTCAGGTAAAAAGTGCACCTATGGGCACAAATGTAAATATTACCACCCAGAACGGGCAAACCAGCCTCAAAGGTCAGTAGCGGATGAGCTTCGAATAAGTGCCAAATTATCTGCTGTGAAAACTATGAGTGAGGGAGCCTTGGCCAAATGTGGCACAGGGCCGTCCAGCTCCAAAGGAGAAATCAGTTCTGAAGTGAAACGCATTGCCCCAAAACGTCAGTCAGATCCAAGCATTAGATCAGTAGCTGTGGAGCCTGAGGAAAAGTTATCAATAGCCCGGAAGTCTGAGGCCAGCTCTGTCCCGTCTCTGGTTTCTGCATTAAGTGTACCAACGCTCCCTCCACCAAAAAGCCATGCAGCTGGTGCATTAAATACTCGCTCTGCAAGCAGCCCGGTGCCAGGTTCCTCACAGTTCATGCATCAGAAATCCTCACTGGAACATATGTCCAGTGTGCAATATCCTCCTATACTAGTCACCAATAGCCATGGCACCTCAGTTAGCTATACTGACCAGTATCCCAAATATGAATCATTGGGGGACCATGGCTATTATTCCTTACTCAGTGATTTCTCCAACTTGAGCATAAGTAGTATCCGTAACACAGATTATTACGGGGCTGATATGGACCAGGGGATGTATTCTAGAAACTCAAGCCCCTGTCCTGACAGTTGCTTAAGCCATACAAGTAATGATTCTTATTCCTCTTACAATGACTTGTATCTGGGTGTAGCAGATGCCAGTTCAGAAGACAATGTGAAGATCCACAGACTGCCATCGCAAAATCGTCTTCAGCCTTTTTCCCATGGTTACCATGAAGCCTTAAGTAGAGCTCAGAGTTATGGAAGTGAAGAGCCTAAGCAATCCCTTCGCAAACAGTCAGTTTCCCACTTAGGCCTCCATGCCCAGCATCCAGTTGTTGGAGCACGGTCCAGTTGTCCAGGAGAATACCCTGTGCCTCAAAGCATTCATCCATCAACTGCACAACCAAGCCGTGCCTTGGTCATGACAAGAATGGACAGTATTTCTGACTCACGGCTTTATGAAAGTAACCCTACGAGGCAGAGACGACCACCTCTCTGTCGAGAGCAGCATGCTAGCTGGGATCCATTACCGTGTGCATCAGACTCTTACACTTACCACTCCTATCCACTGAGTAACAACCTCATGCAGCCATGTTACGAACCTGTAATGGTAAGAAGCATGCCTGAGAAGATGGAGCAGCTCTGGAGGAATCCCTGGATTGGGATATGTGGGGAACCACGGGAACCTCATATCATTCCAGAACATCAGTATCAAACATACAAGAACCTCTGCAATATTTTCCCTCCAAGCATTGTCCTTTCTGTGATGGAAAAGAATCCCCACATGACAGATGCACAACAGCTGGCAGCTATGATTGTTGCCAAATTAAGAACAGGGCGTTAAAGCATTACAGCCTCTTTTGGATAGATGAAACTACGCAGCATTAGGACCTGGAGGAGAACGTAAATGAAGAAGGAAGGGGCCAATCTGTTGTAAATATTTTCTACTAAGATAGTATAAAATTCTGTACACAGTAGCAATCATATATATGCTGAGGCACTATATAAGAGTTTGATTGTATTGTAAATTTTAAGGTTTTAAATATAGGGATTTTTAATAGTATTTTATAGGAAATGCATACCTTGCTGCATGGATAGCTCATTAAGAACTACAATGTCACGTTCAGTGTCTCAAAGCTGTTACTACAAAATTATTGTTAGCAATTATATTGCATGTATTCGTGTACACTTTCAATTTACTTATAAATACCTAATCGGCCTTTAAAAGTAAGCTCTGTACACACCCAGATGACTTCTAGGGTTTCAGCTTTGCCATCTGACACTGCCCACTGGCATAGGAAATATTGAAGGAAAAGTAAACTTGATGGAAATTAAAATCCTCACTTTGTAAAAGGAAAAACTGATTTCAGCTTTTGGCACTTCAATTTCAAAACTGATCCCCAGGAGTTTCAGTGTCTATCACAGCGTCCAATACGTTGGCTCCATCCAACAGAAGCCACGTTAGGACCAAACCCCTTAAGGGGTGTGAAGGTGTGAGTGCCATTCAGGACATTAAAACAAGGTTACCTGTAGCTTCTCTCTTCAGAATCGCCTCCCAGCTCTGCACTAAGCAGCTGCTGCCCCCAGGGACCAGCCAAGCTGAAAGCAAATGGCCAGGTTTGTGTAAGTTGGATTGCTCCACCTGAAGCAGCAGACGCTGGATGTTTAACATGGAAGTCCATCAGTAACTACAGCCCTTCCTCTGGGGGCAAGGATGGTGGCTGAGTGAGCCTAACCTTCACGATGGCTGTACATCAACTTGAGAAGGGGCTGGAGGGGGGGAAGGCTGCTTCTTGAAAAGAGATGCTCCAGTTTGGGTTTATGGCAAAGCTGGGCCTGGGTTTTTGCTCTTCAGATCCACGCAAAGGTGTGCATTTGCCTCATGAAGGCTTTTAGAGTTCCTGTTTCAACAGGTGAGATAATTTTGTGTGGCATTGTTTGCGCAACTGGTATCTTGCTCAGGGTGGGAACCTTTGTAGCTAAATGTCTCCAAAAGAGGCGTTTATTGTTTTTTAAGCTGCACTGACTGGACGCCCTTTTTTGAATCCATTGTATATTTCAGCATTTGGAACCATTACTAACTCGACACGGCTCGAGCTAGGACTTGTTGACTTCTACTGTAGTTTTTTTCATGAAAGTTGAGAAAGGCCTGGTTTATGGCCTTTTGTTTCTTCATGAGAAGGTGTGACACTGCCTAAATGTTTCTTACTGTGAAACACACGGAACGTGAGGCTGCAGTCAGGGTTGTTTCTGGTGTTTTGATAATGGCTTGCATGCTGCTTCCTAGTTACCTGTCTGAGGAACAAAGTTCTATCATTTCTTCTACTTGTGTTACTGTAAGGGTTAGTTTGATTCAACATCTCTTGTGGGCTCTTTATCACGTGCAAAATATGTTCCTGTCATACTAAAAACCCCAAATAACAACAAGCCACAATTACAGGTGCAACTGCAGTTGACATTTGATAACCGTATCACTTCACACAGGATAAACATCCTTGTGTTGGTACAGGTGACAGACACAATGGCCACTTCATGTATCTAAACTCAGTTATCCTGAAGGTGAGTCTGTATTCACACTCGGTGTTTGCAAATTACTTTTAGTTGGTTATTGTCTGTTAAAGGGGAAAAAGGAAAATCTTCAGACATTTAAAACAGTTGGAGGAAAGATCTAACTCTGGACAAGTTTTCAAACCAATTTCTTATGAACCTGCATCTTCTAGTTTTGATTTGCGATTAATTCCTATTCTCTTCTCTTGCATGGTATAAAGCAGCTGAGAGCAATGCCTCAAATAACCAGAAATGACCTTTTGTTTGTTGATACAAATTGTATCTCTTTTTCTTGATTGTATAAAAACTGTGTATAAAAAGAAAATAATAATCTCTAGATTAACTTCAGTATTACATTTTCACCACAACGTGTGTGACACCGTGTGTCACAGGGAAGTAGCCCATGAGTAATTATGGATCTTTTTTATTTCAAATGGGCACTTGTAGTTTATAGACAAACAAGGACAACTTTTCAGAACCAGGTTATTATGTGCACAGATACTGTGTGTACACCTCAAAGCATTACATAGTTATCTTTAGTCTATTTATTAAGCAGATACCTTCTTGCACTAAACTTTATGTAAAAATGTTACTGTTAACTCATCTGCATGTGTTTAAAATGTGACAATGATTGCTAGAGACCCTGCTTTATTCTGAACCCATTAATTTATAACTTCTTTAGGTATACAATGAAGTTTATTGTGCACTCATGTTTTCCATCTTGCATGGAATTAAATATTTGTATGTAGAAAACGGTTTGTTCCCTTTCTCTCCACTTATAAGCTATTTTAAGAGAGGTTTAGGAAGTGTTTTTGATGTTTTCTGATGTGGAAAACTGAGCAGAAATTTCCATTAGAAGTGTTGGCTGGTTCATGGAGATACTCATTGCTGTAGGACTGTCTGGTCATTTTAATTCTCACTAACTTCTGTCTTACTGATAAAGCAAGTCCTTTCTAAACACCGGGCATGCTATGCCAATACAACCCCGGCACACTATTTCCCTAAGGCAAACTGCCTTTCCCTAGGAAGCTGCTGGCATGTGCCCTGCACAGAGCTACGCAATGGGCAGCGCAGCCTTATGGAACTAGTTTGCAAGTTTTCTGCTCCGTCAGTCCTCCTCAGAGGTGAAACCCCCTTTGTCTGTGACGTGCTCTTTCCTAGTTGACTACTTGAAGTGGTTGACATGCCATCCCCATCCGGTCTCAGCTATGTTTACAAGCCAATTCAAAACACTGACACATTCGTTCATCTTCAGCGCATAAGCTTAGATTTCTTCTTACATGGAAGAGTTGATCTTATTAACACCTGATCATAACTGTCTATATTGTAAATATAAGACTTTGTATAAATGCTCTTTTTGAGAGCATGGTATTTAAATGTTTTTAAAACTGTAAGAGAACAGTTCTAGAAACTCTATTTTAATAAAATCCATGAAATTACAGTTCTAGATGAAGGGAAGAAAAGTGGGGAAGGTAAAATCCTGGCCTACTGCAATCAGCAGTTGTTAAGCAGTAGAGTTGATCAGTGCTTTCCTGGGGGCCAGAGCATTCCCTGGGAGTTCTGATTTAAGGATCTCTCATCTTTAGCTATCTTACTTTCATATAATTTGTCACTTAGAAGTGTCTAACCTTAAGTTCATAAACCATGGGATGTCAGTCTGAGTTACTGAATGTTCTTTTTTGTAAGGATGACATGTCAGTAATATATTAACTTGTACTTAAAGATGACTTCACTACTGTTCGTCCTGTTGTGGTTGTATTGAGCTGCAGTAGTTGGCTTTCTTCATCTGTAGAATTAAACATTCCTGTTTAATGGTTGTAAACTTTTATAAATCTCTTTGGGTTTTTTTGGTTGACCCAAATATAATGTAAGTCTTAATGACAAAACGAGTGAAAATGGATGTGAAACCAGTACGTGGTATTCGTAAACCTCGGTAGTAGTAAGCGTGCACTGCTCTAGCTGCTGCTGCATGTACCCCATTCACTAGCATGAGTCTGTTTAGCTTCTGTATAAACGCTCAAACTGTGAATTTAACAGCAGAAGGTGTGGGTATGGTTGCTGAGAACAAGCAGAAGGAGCCTCATTACAAAACCAAACCCAAACCATCGCTGTAGGTGAGTTCCCCCGTACGTGCTTGTTCTGCCAGTCTGCCCAAAGGGGCGAGTTTTGGCGCTGTGAGGTTCTGAATGATCAGGTCAGAACACGCAAAGAATCTGCCCAAATAATTCAGTTCCAGAACCGTTGGTGACCTGTGCCTGTGCTGCACCCACACCCCCCAGGCAGGAACATAACATTTCAAGGGGCGCATTCTGACTACGGTCATTGTTAAAGCTCCGTGCTGCAGGGAGGGAACTCATCGTGTCTGTGAGACTTTGCTCCGCAGAGCTGAAGTATTACTTTAAGCTTGACTTGCCCTAAGTTTACCTGAAGTATTAGTACTCCAGGACTCGTCACTGTGATTTCTACAGTGAGTGTTCAGCTTTAATACTCCTCTTACATCCCCGTAGCTTGTCTGTGCGACAGAGCCTTTATTAACTGTCTCTCTTGCAGTATTTCAACTGGAAAAGTACAAGTGCACTGTCACTTCAGTTATTCTCATGCCAGGGTTTGGTTATTGAAGAGCCATTATACAACACCTATGATTTTGGTCTGTGGTATTTAACATTTGTAATGTATTAGAAATAAGAAACTCAACAAAATCTCAGCTATTCCCTGTTCCCCTCCGCTCTGTGTACCAAGTTTGCACAATTATTTAGTAACATGAAACCTGTTATACTTTATATATCTATATATTTAAACTTGCTTATTTAATAAAACCGAGAGCCATTGGATTATTTGTTTCTAGCTTTTTATTTTGTCACCCTCTTTAGAGGGGAGCCCCAAAAGCTGCTCTGGCCAAATTGTTTCTCAGTAGTTTTAGCAGATTTACTCGAAAATAGCCAGATTCTGAAATCACTCCTAATGCTCAGACCTTCCATCTGCTGACACCCGTGAAGGAACAGGGCAAAAGTGTTACTGTTCTTTAGAAAGCAGAAGAAAAAGTACTCTTGGAGTCCTGCTGTGTTGTCACAGTAACGTCCTGTATCAACCTCTGTAATACATTTCTTTTGCTATTTAAACACTTCTTCATTTCCCTTACTCTGGGGGACCCCATCCGGTTTCGTTTATTACCATTGCTTGGACTCCAGGTGCTTTAAGTTGTTGGGTGGGGGGAAGGAAGTAAACCTAACAGAAGGAATATGACACACAAAGTTCATCTCCATCTGGCTTTGCCTGAACTTCTCACCCTTACCATGTTCGCTCTCACAATGGCCAGGAACAGGTTCGGAGACAGCACAAACCCAAACAGAACCAGTAAAAAGCCCGTATCACAAAGGTGCTTTTTCCTAATCTCAGGCCCTTTGTACTCAAATTCACCATTCCTGAACAGAAATACAGACTAGATTCTAGGGGATATTCTTACTGTTCCAGGTTTCCCCCCAGACACCGTAACCCCTGGGTAGAGCTGAAGTCCTTGTCAGAGCAGCTGCCTTTGGGAATGAGGAAACAGAAGAGTGAACACTTGGAACAGCCAGGAACAAATGCCCAGAAGGTTCCACTACTTCCAGTTCCTGCCACTGAAAAGAAACTCGGAAAGTCCAAAAGCGGGGTCACAGGCCACAAAAGCAGCAGACCCAGGCCTTGACTTCCTCAGCAATTCCCGTTAGTGTGATTTATTCCATATAGCCCCAGTTTCTATCTCCAATCCCTTCCTCCCTTTAGAGATACCTTTTCCAGACAGTAAAAATCTGTCTGGAGAGACCGATTTACCGGGAGAAAG